AAGAAATTGAGAAAAAGATTCCATATGAAATAAAACATTCCAAACTCTTGGAAAACATAGAATTGATTTCCAGTAAGGACTAGTGTACACTTATTAACCCCCTCCATGTCAGTTTTTTATTATGCTTTTTGATAGTTTATTGTATTCAGACAAATAATTAAAAATACAGGGAGAAATGGTTTTCCTGAATTAACTTGGGCAGTTATCATTTGAAATATGGAGTTATCTCGAGCAAATCACAGAAGGAGTAATAGTTTATAAATACGAGATTTTATTGTTTTATATCTAGAAAACAATATAATATTTTTAAATCTTTCTGAGCAGTAGTTCTGCAGTTACTTAACATCCTTGTGAGTAGTAAGTAGTCATAAACTTGAATTAAATCTTGCCTCAAGCAGAGGTTAAAGAGTCATTCCATATATATTTATAATCAATTAGTCATATTTTTGTGTTATTGCTCCTTCCCTATGTAGGTCGTGTCCAGGGGAAGAGGTGGTACAGAAGATTGTATATTATAGTGTAAGCTCGAAACTAATCTCCTCTACATGTATAATAAGAATGATCACGAAGAGATGTAGTCTATGATTGTAGGATGCTGCATTAAGACTTTGGTTCTACTTAAGAGTTTGAGATGCATTCAATCTTTTCTGTCTTTGTTCTAGCTCTTAGGTGTTTGAATAAAGTGACATACGGTGACAATTAATTATTCATTATTTTCAGTAGACTAACTAATTATTTATTTATTTATGAATTTCTTTTCTTCACCAAGATGAGAACTTCAGTGACAAGAAGATGGGAAAAGCCTAATCTATTCCTTAGTTCACTACTTCCACTGCAGCAGATCAATTTCAATTAATTCACTACTCATCTGCTGGTTGGAAGGATCAAGCAAATTAACAAAGAAAGCCCCATTTTACATGTCACATTTTACCTAAATGACTAAAGTATTTTATGACATTAGTGATGAGTAAAGGACTATAACATCAAAACCAAACAAACTGCTTACAATCCACTTTAACATGAGGCTTAGTTTGTTCATTTTCTTCACTCTTCAAAGAACAGATTAGGCCTCCACTTCAACTTTCTTCACTAAAATTTGCATATTGGTGACAAAGAGAAATTAAAAATTAAATAAATAACCAGTTGCTGCACTAAAAATAACAAAAAATAATTGGGATGATATAGCATGTTATCAAAACACTAAAGTATTTTAGGTTTTTAGTGCTTGTATTTAATTATTGTAATAACATACGTGCACTTTAAATAGTATAATCTTGTATATTTGCATATACCTTCGATTTGTTTATATGTTCTTACTGCAGAGATTCATATTTTGAAATCTTTTGTATAAGCCTAAATTAGTTAGCAAGTGTCTTGTTTCCCCGATGAAGCCATAGTGGTGAAACGTTGGCTTACATAAAACCAATCATGTTTTCTGGAGTAATAGATTGTGTTTTATTTTTACTTTTAACAATGAATATAACTCTCCAGTTTGCACTATAAACTTTAAACTTGCATAAAATATTGTTATCATTTGTTTTACACATACTTTGAGTCTCTCATTTGCTGACTGCATTTATTTTATTTTTCCACAAAACAAGTCATTATGATTCTTCCATTATTATGACACTTAGTACAAATCTGTTGGTTCCAGTTTTTATCTGTAAAAATAACACATGTACACATAAAAGAAAGACTACCTCAGTTTGCCCACAAAATAATCGCCTCCACGAGACAGGTCTGTTGGGTCTGCAGATATTAAATAGTTGGATGTTTTACTCTTTTTCCTCTTCCGTGCAGCAAGTAAAAAAATCTGTTAACAGCATTAAAGCAAAATATGAATGAAATTGATACACATTTCACATTAAAAGTGGAAGTGAGGAGAATGAGTAAATAAATGAGCCTTTCACATAAATAAAGTTAACCTTAAAACGTATTCACACATTCAATATTTTTGTGCAACCAATTAATGAACGAACATTAGTGATGGGGATCTAAAATATTTAGCAGACTGTTTTATAATCTTCACTTTACCACTTTTTCTATCACAGTAAGGAATATATAACGATAAAGCCAGAAGATAACCTGAGTTATTGTTTTATGAAACACTCCCATACTTAAGAATTAATTAACAGCATATTTGCTAATGGTGCACAGAGATTTCTTTATTTACATATGAAAGTAACACAATATTTTGCAAGAATTTAAAAAAATTTGTAATTAAAAGTTACTAAGAATTATCAAATGTGATATAAATGGATTTCAATAGCTGCTAAACCCTAAGTAATAAGCCATTCTTTAATTAGTTTGTTGAAATGAAAACACTAGATCACAATATCTAATTTTATTTTCACTGACAACAGCATTCTATTCCATATCATAAGACATCACTATTTTATTTATAAAATTATAAAAAAAAATATTATTAGTTGCAATATGGAAAACAGTATCTCAATACACATACAGAACTATAAAACTTAACAATGTTGGACCGAATAGTTTTTTTTTAATTAATTAAATCATCCAGCTCAAACAGCTTCTTATTTTGATGCAAAACACAAAAAAAGTTTAATACTTTAATATTTTAAAATATGTATCAGGCAGGCAGTAGCACTGTCTATGTAGGGATGGCTTGAATTGTTCAACAAAATGATATTTTAAATATCT